TGCTTCCTCAAAAAAAAAAAAAAAAAAAAAAAAATTAACCACAAAAAAAAAAAAAAAAAAAAAAAAAAAAAAATGCATGTATAGCCCCACGAGCTGTGTGCATCAGAGCCCAGACTTGAAGCTGGGCCTGGGCCTGTAGCTAGTGTTTGTGTGCCAAACATAGTCGCTGTCCTGTCTCATGAGGGAAGGAGGGTCCTGTTACTTTGGCCATGCAAGCAGAGGATAGAGGATGCCAAAGGGGCACTGAGATTCAACCGGAATTCTTGATGGCTCAGAATTCCCTTAGCCAGAGACTCCAAGAGGTGAGGAACCTGCATCCATGTGAGGCCTAGGTCATGTGGTATGGCCCATCTCCAGAGACTATTCCTGGTCCCTTTTGCTTCCCCACCCTCCTTTGTTACCCAAGTCACAGATGAGCTTGACATGCCCTAGCTAGGGACAGCCCCACTGCTGGAGCCTCCAATGACCAGCCCCACCGGAACTCTTCCCCACTGCCCCGGGAATATCTCCCCCAGCTACACCTTTGAGCACTTTCTACTGGGCCTCCCGGGCTGCCACTTCCCTCCCTGACAAGCCCCATGAGAGAGGAATAACAGAGCACCAGGAAGGCGTTTCAAATAGCATCATGTCACAGGAAGAGTGTTGGCCTGTGTTCAAACACACGCAGATCTGAACTTCAACTTCATTTTGTAACCTTGGTCCAATTGCCCACCGGGTCTTGGCCTCATCATTTGAAAAGCACAGGCAATGATTCAAACATGGAATTTTAAGAAGTAAATGATATATTGGCTGTCAAGGACTGGTGTCTAGCAGGAGGTGCATAGATGATAGCTTACGTTTTCTATTTTTGCTCCTTTTCTCCCCCGTGGAGTTACTCTTCAAGCTGAAACTTCAGCCCAATTCAACTTTTACTCTCATAATGATAAAAAGTGATAAATAAAGAAACTGGCAGCTTCTTGGGGCATAGCAACCAACACCTTCTGATTTGATCTTTTTCTGCATCCTCACTTCCTGATGACTCCTCCGTTACTTAAGAGATTGAAGGTATTTTCGAGGACATTTCCTCTTTTGCTTTGCTTTTCCTTTTTTTTTTCTGCCATGACAGTAAGGGTAGTAACGCTACTTTGGTTGTCCTCATTTTATATGTGAGAACAATGCTGGCTGAAGTGTGAGGTGGCAAAGTCCCTTGTGACACATCTGATACACAGCAGAGACAGGACTTGCTGAGCCACAGCATTCTGGCCCGATTCCAGTATTCCTTTTTCTATTCCACCTGCTTGGGTTCAGAGCCTTCTTAAGAAGCAGCCTTGGGGTATAAGTGCCATGGCCAGGTATGAAGTAAGGAGACGTCACAGGCCAGATCCTGGGGCGGGGGGAGTGAATCCATTCAACTGGGACAAGCAAGAGAACCATGGACAAGGTCTGGCTTGAGCCGGAGGCTTAGTGACCGTGCCTCAAGGACCCTGACCAGTGATGCCAGTCTGGGTGCCAGCCAGTCACTTGCCTGTTGTCAAACAGTCATGGTTTTGCAGTACATTCCCAGCATTGGGAATTGGCCCCTAATTAAGATCCGCTTGGCATAGTGGAAAGATCATGATTCCGGCCTAAGCTCAGCCACAGCGTGAGCCAGCTAAGCTTGTGCAGATGCCCTCCCCTCTCTGACCCCTCATTCCCCATCTACTGACCCACAGAGGACAGAAAATTAAACAAGAGAATGTGTGAGTGCCTGGAACCTTGAAAGACCTCAGAAAACGGCATCTCTCATTGCATCATGGAATTGTCGTACTTCCTGGCACTGAATTCCCATTAGTTACTGCTCTGAAAGTGGACTTGGGGACAAGGAAAATGTCAGCACCTTCCCTGCCTCACGGGTATCACAGACCCTCATAAGCACTACTGGATATTTGCAGGGTGGCTTCCTGTCTCAGCTTTTGGAAAGCCTGCTTTGAAACATCAACTATAGTTTTCTCCCTGTTGGACTATAAAGGAAGAATGTAAAGGAATGGATGAGCTCCCTCTTAATAGGGTTTCTGTAGTCCCAGGGTCTGAGGAGATTTTCTGGGGTCTGATGAATCTCCTCTTCAACTCACATCAATGCAACGTGGAGGTTTGTCAAGTACCTCCTAGGTAGTGATATGAAAATGGTGATGAGGGTAATGCCGACTAATGTGGTCAATAACAAGAGTTTCTATTTATTCAGCTACAACTCATGGCCATTCTTCTTCCATTCCTTTGGTCTAACCTTGTAACATTTCCTGCAGGTAAAAACTATCATCCCTATTTTACAGATTAAAAAAACTGAGGCTCAAATAAATTAAACGACTTGGCCAAGGCCACACAGCTAGTAAGTGGAAGATGCATGATTCAAGTTCAGACATGAATGTTCTGGCCCCACCAGATTGACGTGATAACTCCTCCATCACTTGGAGAACCTCTACTCTTTCCACACACAGCTCACTGGCTCCAGGACCTTTTGTTATGAACAAGGATACAGAGAAAGTGTTGTTTGTGGGGATTTATCGATAAGTCAACCTGCTCTGAGAGAAGGATTTCTGTCTTAAACAAGTGAGCAGTGAGGCTCACAAGGTCAAGTGGAGCTGATTGGAGAGGGCCTGGGTAGGAAAGGCTGATAGGAAGTTTTTGATTCTGACTGCTTCCTTGACGGTAATGTAAATGTTCTGAAATGACCTAAACATCCATCAGCCAGGGAGTGGCTAAATGATGAGACAGCCATATAATGGAAGACTGTCTAAACAGCTGATTTTCTGGAAAAGCAGATCTGTATGTACTTATGTGGAACAATTTCCAAGGCACTGCACTGTGTCCTCTATTTTCCCTGACACCCAGATCAATTCCCCTCCCCTCCCTGCTCTGCTCTGTGGCCCGGAAGCACCTCCTGGATGGCAACATGCCTTCCTGGTTCACTGGCTTTCACATGGGTGTGATCAGTGTGCACCTCTGCAGCAGGTTGGAGGGCGGGAGGAGGGAGGGGCAGGGCATTTCTTCCCTGCTCCTCCCCAATTTGGGTGTCATGGCTCTGACACAGCCCAGTCCCTCCACGCTTCTGCTGCTGCCCATCAGCCTGCAATCCAGGGCTTCAGTTATCTTTGGGCCCTGGTCTCCGATTTCTTCCCCTTTCCCCTTTGGACATTCAAATCTCTCCAGTTGAACTGTCTGAGTGGAGTTCTGTTGCCTGCCAGGACCCTGACCATGACACAGATATATTATGAATGTGGAGGACACCCCCAGATAAAGACAGCTCCCTACTGACCTCCCAAGAACCTTTCCAATCATCTTCACCATTAACGTCCCCACAAGTCCACCGATGGCGAATATGGATACAGTCACAGACCAGAGCAGAGTCAGAGTGTCCGGGTCTATTGGATGTTCATGCCTTCTTTGCCATGACTCATTGTAAAAGGCCTTGATGTACTGAAAATAAACAACAAACCATGTTACTTCTTTCTGTTCCATCCTGTTGCTTGAAGCAAGCCAGCGTATAAAACAAAATAGCTTTTATAGAGCATTTTTATGTGTGGCACTTTGCTAACTTCTGTTTGAGCTTTATCTCATTGGACTCTTCTAACAGATTTTGAGACTGTTCCCTTTTTTACCTCATTTTGCAGATAAGGAAACTGAGGCTCAGGGAGACAAAGTAACTTGCTCGGTAAGTGCTAAACCTGGGAGCTGGACTCAGATCTGACCCCAAGCTTATGATGACCTTTATAGCTGGGCTTCTCTGATTCTAGTGCACCGAAGTATTGCCTTTGAGGTGTGTTAAAGGGCACATATCCGCCGGGTACAGTGGCTCATGCCTGTAATCCCAGCACTCTAGGAGGCTGAGACGAGTGGATCACTTGAGGCCAGGAGTTCAAGACTAGCCTGGCCAAGATGATAAAACCCTGTTTCTACTAAAATTAGCCGGGTGTGGTGGCACGCGCCTGTAATCCCAGCTACTTGGGAGGCTGAGGCATAAGAATCCCTTGAACCCAGGAGGCAGAGGTTGCAGTGAGCTGAGATCCCACCATTGCACTCCAGCTTGACCCTGTCTCTCAAGAAAAAAAAAAGGCACATACCTAACAAAAGAGGTACCTTGGGATAGGCGAAGATGCAAGACACATAAGAAAACGAACCATAAAAGAAAAAAAAATGTTCCTTTGAATATAATCAAGATTTACATCTTCTGCTCTTCCAAAGACATCATCAAAAATGAAAAGACAAGCCATAGACTGAGATAACATATTCCCAACACATACAACTACAAAGAAATCATATCGACAATATACAAAGAACTCTAACATGTCAATAAGGAGGCAAACAATACAATTAAAAATGAGTGAAAACTTGAACAGACTCCAAAAAAAATACAAATGACTGGTATGCTAATGACAGAATGCCTGACATCATTAGTCAACAGAGAAATGAGACCACAGGGAAATACAACTTCACATTCACTAGATCCCCATCACTGCCAATTCTGATTCAGTGTGTTTGGGACAGGGACTAGGTGATTCTGATGTACACCAAAGACTGAGGTCCATGGCACTAAGCTCCAAAGACAGTTCAGTCCCCAAGGTACTCAGAGTTCCCTGTTTCTACCCAATGTGAGCCCATAAACCTTAGCGAAGCCAATACATGACACTGCAGAGAACTCAGACCTGGGCTCAAATCCCAGCACAGCAACTTGGTAATGATCCAAATCAGCTGAACCTTGGTTTTCTTATCTACAAAATGGGAATGATGACATTGACCTCTCAGGGCCGTTGTGAGGGTCAAATGAAAGCCTGAAGCAGTGGCCAGTACTTGAGTGGAACTTACACAATCCCCATACAGGCTAAAAATTAAAAGGTCCAGTAAGACTGAGGAGTCACAAGTAGTGTGTACTCTGCTGGTGGGAGTTTAACTTGTACAGCCATCTTGGAAAACAGCTTTGGCATCTTCTAGTCAAATGGAAGATGCCCATAACCTACAACCCAGCAAATCCACTTCTGGAAAACTCCCCTGAAAAACTCTTTCCAGGGAGCCCTAGGATATATCTACTCAGATGTCTACAGCAGCATTGCACGTAATAGCCCCAGACGAGAACCAACCTGGATGCCCATGGTCAGTAGTAGCGATAAACAAATTGCAGAATCATCATCATATGAAATACTATAGCTGCAAATGTGAATGAATATAGCTCTGTGCAAACACACATGGTAAAACCTCGCAAGAATAACACTGACCAAAAGAAGCTAAAAACAAAAGAACACACACAGTCTGATTCCACATGTAAAACCCAGAAGTATGCCAAGTTAAAAGACTTTTGGAGGATTATATATAGAGGGTAAAACTACAAGAAATAATTATTTCAAATGTCAGGTCAGGGGCCATCTCAGGAGATGATAGAATAAATAATTGGGGAGAGACACTTGATAGGACCTTCTTTTTCTTCTTTTTTTTCAGGCTGCAGTGCAGTGGTGTGATCACAGCTCACTGCAGACTTTATCTCCTGGGATCAGGAGGTCCTTGTACTTTAGAAGGTCCTTGTAATCATCCCAAGTAGCTGGGATGACTACAGGTGTGTGCCACCATGCCTGGATGAATTTTTTTGTCTTGTTTCTTGTACAAATGAGGTCTTGCCAGGTTTCCCAAGGCTGGTCTCAAGCTCCTGGGTTCAAGCCATTTTTCCCGCTGCAGGCTCCCTGGACCTTCTATACTTAACCTGGATTGTGGTGACATGGGTGTTAGATTTATACTGTCTTTAACATGTGTGTGTGTGTGTGTGTGTGTGTGTGTGTGTGTGTACATGCCCGCACAGACATGGTGCATAGGTGTGTATTTTATATACTCTTTGGTATGCATAATACATGCTCCCAATTAAAACAGAAAAGAAAGATGGCAGAAAAGTGTTTCAGGTAGAGGGAGAATCATGCCAAGACAGCATGACAGAAGAAAGCTTGGGTGGCCATGGAATTGCAAGGAGGCCAATGGGTAAGGAAAAGGATCCAAAAGGGAAGGAGTGGGCTGGATGAAGTTGGAGGGCAAGAAAGGGCAGGTCATGTGGGCCTAATAGGACATGGAAGTGAGCCTGGTTTTTACTTGGATTCTACTCTAGATGAAGTGGGAAAGTATTGGAGGGTTTTTGGCAGGGGGAGGATGTGGCCTGGTTTGCCACTTTCAGAGGATTTGCCATTTTCAGAGGATTCCTCTGGCAAGTGGGTGACAGGGGAGCTAGACAGGAAGCCAGGCGCACTGTAAGGGCTCTGCAGCAGTCCAAAGATCATGGAGGCCTTCACTAAGCAGTGGACATGGAGGGAAGCGGATGGATTTAAGGTGGATTTTGAGAGCAGAATAGGCAGGACTTCTGAGTGATTGGCTCGAGGTTTGAGAACAGTGGGTGTAGCAGAAAGTGAAAGAAGAACACAGAAGACTCCCAGGTTTCAGACATAAGCAAATGGTCCGATGGCAGGAAACAAGGTGAGGAGGGGAGACACCTTCTGCCTGTGAGGTATTTATCTTCTGTTTTCTCTTTCTTTCTGGCTTCACAACTATCTTACTCATAGCATGGAGCGAGAATAGAATATATTATCAACGGCTACAGCTATTCCTATTGATGAAGTTTCCAGAACTGGATGCACAAGATACTGATCTACATCACCCACTGGCTCATTCAACAAACATGTGCTGACTGCTGGGCCCTGAACCAAACGCAGAAATAAACTGAACATAACCCTGATCTCAAAGATCTTCCATCCCCTGGAACTGATAATGCATCATCTCATTTAAGGATGCTCTTGGCTACAAGTAACAGGAAAGCTCAACTCAAAGTAACTGAACGATGAAGACACTTACAGAAATGCAAATTTACAGGAGTGATGAGCTTCAAGAACGGCTGATCTGGTGGCTCAGTAACGGCCAAGAATCCAGATGCCTCCAAAACTCACTCTGCTTTCCATAGCTTTGACCTCATCCTAAGAGGGCATCCACTCGCAATTGTAGGCTAGCTACCAGCAGCAGTTTTGGCCACATGCCTTTCTACTCATGCATGGCTGGAGACAATAATCTTGGCTTCTCATAGATCTCTTGGTGCTAAAAGGAACTTTCCTGGAACCTTCTAGCAAGCTTCTCTTTATATCTTACTGGCCAGAGTTGGGGCACAGATCCCTTATTAATCCACTGTGGAATGGGACCCATCAGCCTGTACCTCTGCTCCTGAATTCCTTTCCTTTATCTGCTCCTCCTCACCTCAGTGAATGAGACCACCATTTTCCAGTTGCTCAGCCAAAAACCACGAAGTTATTCTTAACTCCTGCCCTTGATACAGTCTCCTCAACTAATCCACCCTCACTCATCCCTGACTGCTAGGGTTGTTAGATACTGATCTACATCTTCCAGTGACTCATTCAACAAACATGTGCTGACTACTGGGCCTTGAGCTAGATACAGAGATAAACTAAATGTAACACTGGATCTCAAAGATCTTCCATCCACTGGAGCTGATAATGCATCGTATCATTTAAGGATGCTCTTGGTTCAAGTAACAGGAAAGGTCAACTCAAAATAACTGAGCAATGAGGGCACTTACAGAAATGCAGATTTACAGGAGTGGTGTGCTTCAAGAACAGCCCATCTGGTGGCTCAGTAATGGCCAAGAATCCAGTTGCTAACCCCACACCTCCAGATTTATATATTAAAGTCCTAACACCCCACATCTCAGAATGGGTCCTTATTTGAAATAGGGTCATTGCAGATATAATTAATTAAGATGAGGTCATATTACAGTAAAGCCCACCCTACTCCAATATGACTGGTTTCCTTTATAGAAAGAGGATTCAGAGACAGAGAGACACTGGTAGAGTGAATTTTGTTCTGCCTCCAAACTTCATATGTTGAAGTCCTAACCCTTAGTACCCCAGAATGTGACCTTATTTGGAGACAGAGTTTTTACAAAGCGAATAATATTAAAATGAGGTCATTAGAGTGGGCCCTAATCCAATATGACTGGTATCCTGAAAGAAAGAGGAAATACGGAGTTAGACAGGCGCAAGAGGAAGATGATGTAAAGAGGCATATGGAGAAGATGGCCATCTGTAAGCCAGAGAGAGGGGGCTGAAACTGAGCCTTCCTTCAAAGCCCTCAGAAAGGACCCACTCTGTGAACACCTTGATCTTGGACTTCTGGCCTCCAGAACTACGGAATAATACATTTCTGTTCTTTTAGTCACTCAGTCCATGGCACTTTGTTATAGCAGCTATAAAAAACTAATATTTTGCCTGGCTTCCAAAAGGCTTCTCACCACTTCCACCATTCCATCACTCAACTGGTCCAAACCGCCATCCCTTCAATGGAGCTACCAAAACACTGATTCCTAAACCCTCATCAGAGTGCTGCCGGCAGCCTTCTGAATGGGTACTGTGTTCTCTCTCAGTGGCTGGACACTTAGTCAATGT